TTCTTTATAGTATGTGTTCTTTCTGATATATATATTTCTGACATACATTTAATATATATAATATATATTTTTTACCTGGCTTCCTCAACTACAATGAAATATTCATAGGGACAAAGATTTTGTTTTATCATAACTGTATTCCCAGGACCTAGAACAAGGCCTTGGGCTAGCAGGCTCCCAAAGATATTTGTTGAATGACTAAATGGATGAGCCACCATTACCATATATATTAATTGGCCCTTTGTGACTATGGTTTCCACCAGTTCAAAAGGCTCTTATAGGACTCTGAATTCATGATGGCTATGAAGAAGGCAAAGAATGGAGCTGATCTGTTTTGCCCTAGGCTCAGAGCAAAGTGAACTCTCCCCAAAGAAAAGTAGTTTGTCCTTATTATAATCATGCTAAAAACAAGTAAGCTATCTGATCTAGATAAAGTGTCATGATAGATTTGATAAAATGTTTCACTAAAATGGATATATAGTCTAAATTTGTCTTTTTAAAGTTGACATCAGAAAAATCAATATTGACTAGCAAATGTGGTATTTTGAAACACCTTTCTTTTGTTTGCCCTGTTCTCTAAAACAGTTATAATTTTTCTTCTTAAAAATTGCTCTATTATTTTCACTCACAGGTTCCTTAGTGGATGGTAATTATAAGAATCAATCTTTTCTTTTTGAAAATAAACCGTTTTCCTAATCCTCAGGTAATTTCTCTCCTCTCTATTGCTGCATACAAATAGCTTGGTTCAGATGGGCACGGCGGCTCATGTCTGTAACCCCAGCACTTTGGGAGGCCAAGGCAGGTGGATAACTGAGGTCAGCAGATCAAGACTATCCTGGCTAACACGGTGAAACCACATCTCTACTAAAAATACAAAAAATTAGTCAGGCGTGGTGGCACACGCCTGTAGTCCCAGCTACTCGGGAGGCTGAGGCAGGAGAATCACTTGAACCCGGGAGGCGGAGGTTGCGGTGAGCCAAGATGGCGCCCCTGCAAAAAAAAAAAAAAAGAAAGTTTGGTTCACACTTTTTTGAGGGCTATATCATGACTGGAGAATAAAATTTGTAGTGTTTGGCTACATACTTTTAAAAAATCTCTTTAAATCTCATTTTCAAAATCTCATTTTAAATGTAATCAAAACAAGTCTGTGTAATTTTATTATGTGCATATCAATTCTATATGTGTGCCAAAATTGGCACATACCATCTGTTAAATTCCTTACACTCAAAAAAAAAAAAAACTCTTGTTGAGCATTTCAAAGATAAAAAGGTAACTCTGAAGACAATTATGTTAGAAATAAACATTGTCATTTAATTCATTACATTGGGTAGTAAACTACACTATGGGAACACCATGTATAAAATTATTTATTTCTAAAATATAATGAATATAATGAAGATTTTATACAAGTTACTCTTTATTACAAACAAAATGATGTAGGGAACAGAGTAAATATGCTTTTGAAAAAATAAGAGAAACAGATATCAAAAAGAAAAAAAGATTCTTTTTAATAGAGATGGGATTTCACCATGTTGGTCAGGCTGGTCTCAAACTCCTGACCTCGTGATCCACCCACCTCCCAAACTGCTGGGATTACAGGCATGAACCACTGGGCCCAGCGAAAAAATGATTCTTATTATGGAAACAAATGAAGGTTTTAAAACATGCTTCTATAGAAATGTAGAAGATATTAATATGGAAAATTATATAATTGGAAAAATGATATAATTGGAAAAATTGTCAGTTTCAGGAAGGCTACTGGCTGAAAAGACTAATGCATAATATTAGTGACAAATTAATTCATATGTTAATGTAGCATATATTATATAGAGAGATACATGCATATATATTTGGAAGTCACTATAATGTATATTAGTGGCAACACAGAAATCAGTACGATTAGACCCCTGCCTTAAGGCGATTTTAGTTTGGGAAGCAAAGCAAAAGACTAAACCTATTTTATAGCAGATAAAAAAGAGCAGTGGGTAGAAATTTCCTAAAAAGAAGTACTAGGGGATTAAGACAAAAGAAATTACTCTCAAAAGGTATTATCAAGCAAAGCTTCATGAGAAAGGTGATGTTTAACGAATATATTATTGTTACTAGTTATAACAATAACAATACTTAAATAACATTTATAAGCTATTTATTCCAGATATTGTTGACTTTGGAACTAGAATTCATGTATTCAAAATCCACCTCTGTCACTTATGACAGGTGACTGCTTATCCACCTGCAAAATGAGGATACTGATAGCAGTTATCTTATATCACAATAGAAAGTTTTAGGTTAAATGAGTTTAAAATGTGTCAAATTAATTAAAATATCTAAAACAGAAAAATTGACACATAGTAAGCACTTTATGAAGTACTTGTTAAATTAATACTTAAATATATTTATATGGATTTAAGTGGAAATTTAAATAATGTGCATGCACCATGAAGTGCTGATTTATTGGTCAAGATTGAAAGCTACTATTCGTGCACTATCAAAGAGGGAAGTAGTGAGGGGGAATGATCAGATACTTGAAGTGATCGAATAATAGTCGATAAGAAAAAATAAATGTTTTTGATATACTTTTTGTTCTCTACAAAGCATCCATCTGAAAAACAGAAAGATAATGCAAGATTACTTACTATGTATTTCTTTTTTTTCCCCCAGTAAACCTAATTATTTCTTAATTACAAAAAAAAGACCTCTTGGGAATAGAAGGCATAATGTTGTCCTCTAAAAATAAAAATTAAAAAATTGTTTTTTCAAACCAAACAATCAGAAATCATGAGTAGTAAATATTGTCTTTATAAAAAACATTTCCTGTTTGCTTAAATAAATATTATATCCTCTAAAGGAACAAAGCCTTAAACTAAGCAATTCTTAGAGTGTTATATAAGTCTACATTTTCAGGTTCTGGAAAGTCTGGCACTAGATTAAGCATTTGTGATATTTTCTGTTTGGCTGAGAGCAGGTCTCTCACTAAGCTACTGCTCCTTGATGACCAAGTCTATCTTTTGTTCAATGTATTACATCTACCTACACAGTGCCTGGCACATTCAAACATGAATGAATAAATAATTGAACGCAAAAAGGGTACACAAAACCTAGAAAGTACACTGTGCCTAGTTTAGGGAGACCAAATAGATGAAACCCAGTGAAGTCAGGATTTTCAGATAAACAATGAACAATTTTCAGTATAAGTCTCTCTCAAATATTGCATGGGGTATACTTACACTAAAAATTATTCATTGCTATCTGAAATTCTGGTTTTGCTGGGTGACCTGTATTTTTATTAGCTAAATCTGGTAACTCCAAGTCTAGTTATTGTAGTTAAATTAAGGTTTATGCATTTATTCAATTAGCTAGTTATCAGCAAGTATTGATTGCTTCCTTAAATTATTAAATGATGTATTCCCTGCCTACCAAGTGCCAGGACTTATAAATAACACTGGCAGACTCTCACTTCATAGAGCACTTATTTCAGTGGGAGATTGGGAGAGATGAAAAACAAATAAGTGAAGTATTAAACTGGCAAGGTAATTTCAGTTAATGATAAGTGTCATGAAAAAAATCAAGCAAAATGATAAGGTAGAGAGTGAAGGATGGATCAAGAGCTGCCTTGGGTAGAGCGTGCAGAAAGTCATCATTAAATGATGTAAAGAAGCCAGTAGTATAAAGAGCCAGAAAAAGAGCACAAAAGGAAGAAGAAACAGCAAGTGCAAAGGATCCTGGGCAGAAATGAATTTGACTATTACAGGAAAAGAATGAAAACCAGTTAGATTTCAGTGAGCAGGGGGCTGAGGAGCGATGAAAATCTGGTACAAGAAGAATCAAGAGCCAAAGCATGAAGCAACTTGCATTGCATGGGATGGCATTTGGATTTTATTCAAGTTGAGTGGGAACCACTAGAGTGATTCAGATAGGAAGTGATGCGATCTGAAATACTTTGTTGTTGTTTGTTTGTTTGTTTTCTTTATTTCTTCTAAAGAAAAGGGGGATACATGTGCAGAATATGCAGGTTTGTTACATAAGTATACGTGTGCCGTGGTGGTTTCCTGCACCTATCAACCTATCTTCTAAGTTCCTTCCCCTCAACCTCCACCCTCCAACAGGCCCTGGTGTGTGTTGTTCCCCTCTCTGTGTCTATGTGTTCTCAATGTTAAACTCCCAGTTATGAATGAGAATATGCATGTTTGGTTATCTGTTCTTGTGTTAGTTTGCTGAGAATGATGGCTTCCAGCTTCATCCATGCCTCTGTAAAGGACATGATCTCATTCCTCTTTATGGGTGCATAGTATTCCATGGTGTATACATACTAAATTTTCTTTATCTAGTGTATCATTGATGGGTATTTGTGGTTCCATGTCTTCACTATTGTAAACAGTGCTGCAATAAACATACATGTACATATGTCTTTATACTAGAATGATTTCTATTCCTTTGGGTATATACCCAGTAATGGGATTGCTGGGTCAAATGGTATTTCTGGTTCTAGACCCTTGAAGAATCGCCATACTGTCTTCCACAATGGTTAAACTAATTTACATTCCCACCAACAGTGTAAAAGCATTTCTATTTCTCCAAAGCCTCACCAGCATCTATTGTTTCCTGACTTTTTAATAATTGCCATTCTGACTGGTATGAGGTGGTGTCTCATTGTGGTTTTGATTTGCATTTCTCTGATTATCAGTGATGTTGACACGTCTGATCTGAAATACCTTTACAAGACCCCTTGGAATGCTGTGTGGAAAATGAATGGGTATAGTGGGAGGGTGGGAGTGAAAGTGTAGCACCAGTTAGAAGGTTGGGGTCGACTCGTAACAGGCTGTGACTAAGGTGGGTGAATTGGAATCCACGTTGAAGGTAGAAGCAATAGAACTTACAAATGATTTTTAACTCTGGAATCAGAGAGAAATAGTGAGAGAAGGAGAGAAAGCCGCTTGTTTTCTATGTATGGCCTGTATGTCAGGTAGAATAAATTGATCTTCTTTGTCCTTCATTCTTAGTTGCCTATATTGGCATCATCGGTGGTTAGCCTCTATTTCCTCGAACTCACAGATGTCTTCAAACCCGTACACTCCGGATTTAGCTGCTATGATCGGAGTCTTAGCATGCCGTACATTGAACCAACCCAGGAGGCAATTCCATTCCTCATGTTGCTTAGCTTGGCTTTTGCTGGACCTGCAATTACGGTAAGAATTACCCCCAAAATTGTGTTTATCAGTCCTGAAAAACTAAAAATCACCACATTTGTATAATAAATGGGTTCAAAGCAAACAAAAGATGAACTGTAAATCTTAAATCAAAATCGTGTCTTTGAGATATATTGACAGTATCATGTGGAAGTTAATAGCATAACGTTATTGGCATTAGAATTTAAACATTCTATGATTTGAAAAATGATTGATTCCTAGTGTTTATTTTTATAAATCATTATGAAAAGTTTTGTAACTTTATAATTCTCTTTGAATGGCTAATAAGATATTTCTGATACACTTCCTAATTAACTTACTTTACATGTGTTTATTTGGTATCTGAAGCCTGAAAAAATGGGGGGGAAATTACATATTCAACGGACTGTCTTCCAAAAGTGCATTTGGTACCACTTACAGTTTCATTTTTTTACTAGATTATCACTGTTTATTGATTATGAGTACTGAGCATAAATAATTACAAAGTAAAGATATAAAAACTCATTCAAGGCATGCATGCATGAACACATACACATACATACGGACATGCTCAAAGAATAAACTGTTTTATATTCAGAAAAGGCATTTGCATTTTAAAATGTTCATAAATTCAAAAGAGCTAGAAGAGAACAATTTAAGTGTTCCTAGCATAAAGAAAAGATAAATATATAAGATGATGAATACCCTAATTACCCTGATTTGATCTTTACATGTTATATGAATGTATCAAATTATCAGCTATATCCTGAAAAGATGTACATCTATCATGTACCAATAAAAAAATCTAAAATAAATAATTAAATAAATAAAATATGTACATAAAGAAATGCTCTAATGTACTAGAACTAAATTCAAAACATAGTTGTTTTTAATGTGTTAACATACATTGTAACACACTTTTAGATAAATCTATTAACAAATAAGACTGGCCAACCATTTTCACCACCTCTTTTGCCCCAAAAATACTACCTAAGAGGACAAGAAACACTTTTCAAGGGAAATGATATTGACTTCTACAGTGAAAAACTCGTGTTTTGCTTTTAGCATGTTCGTGAATGTCAAAGGAAATGGCTATGAAATTAAAAGCTTTATTTGAAAGCTTCACATTCTAGTTAATTGACCTGTTCAGGTTCAGTACAGCGGCAGTTTAAGAAGAGTCTCTGCATAAATGTTCTAAACTCTACACTTTTATGTAGCTATGGATTTTTTAAATTCCCCAATACTGAATAATGCTCGGAATTATTTAATATAATGCTGTTTACACTTTAAATACATAGTGTATAAAATATTCTCAGAAGATAAAATGGAAACAATTTTCATAGAACTTTATCATATTTAAAAGGTCTCTAAATACTTTATAAATTAATGAGTTATTCTACAGTGACTGTCCGATTATTAGAACTATTAATGATGTACTTGGAAGAAGCTGAGACTCTGAGACTAATAAAATATTCTTAGAGTGTAATATTGCTCAGAATAACAGTATTTTCCTGTCATTTACTAAAGTTTTAATAAAAAATTCATATTATGCAGTCATTTTACCAGGGCAGAAAAACAGAACTAAAGACAAAAGCCACATGATTATCTCAATAGATGCAGAAAAGTCTTTCAATAAAATTTGACATTGCTTCATGTTAAAAACTCTCAATAAACTAGGTATTGAGGGAACATACATCAAAATAATAACAGCCATATGTGACAAACCCAAACATCATACTGAATGGGCAAAAGCTTGAAGCATTCCCCATTGAAAAACAGCACAAGATGAGGATGCCCTCTCTCACCACTCCTATTCAACCTAGCATTAAATTCTGGCCAGAGCAATCAGGCAAGAAAAAGAAATGAAGGGCATTCAAATAGGAAGAGAAGAAGTAAGACTATTGCTGACTAGTCACCAGAGGACATGATTCAATGTCTAGAAAACCCCACTGTTTCAGTCCAAAAGCTTCTTAAGCTGATAAGCAACTTCAACAAAGTCTCAGGACACAAAACTATTGTGCAAAAATCACTAGCAATCCTATACCCCAACAACAGTTAAGCTGAGAGCCAAATCACAAAAGAACTCCCATTCACAACTGCCACAGAAATAATGAAATATCTAGGAATACAGCTAACAAGGGAAGTGAAAGAGCTCTACAAGGAGAACTACAAACCACTGCTCAAATAAATTGGAGATGACACAAACAAATGGAAAAATATTCCATACTCATGGGAAAACATCAATATCATTAAAATGGCCATACTGTGCAAAGCAATTTATAGATTTGATTCTATTCCCATTGAACTACCAATGACATTCTTCAGAGAACTAGAAATAATCTATTTCAAAATTCATATGGAACCAAAAAAGAGCCCAAAGAGCCAAAGTAATCCTAAGCAAAAAGAACAAAGCTGGAGGCATCACGTTACCCAAGTTCAAACTATACTACAGGGTTACAGTAACCAAAACAGCATGGTACTGGTACAAGAACAGACACATAGATCAATGGAACAGAATAGGGCACCCAGAAATAAGACTGCACACCTACAACTATCTGATCTTTGACAATCCTGACAAAAACAAGCAATAGGGAAAGGATTCCTTATTCAATAAATGATGCTGGGATAACTGGCTAGCCATATGCAGAAAATTGAAACTGGATCCCTTCCTTACACCATATACAAAAATCAACTCAAGATTAATTAAAGACTTACATGTAAAACCCAACACTATAAAAACCTTGGAAGACAGCTTAGGCACTACCATTCAGGACATAGGCACAGGCAAAGATTTCATGATGAAGACACCAAAAGCAATTGCAACAAAACCAAAAATTGAAAAATGGGATCTAATTAAACTAAAGAGCTTCTGCACATCAAAATAAACTTTCAACAGAGTAAATAGACAACCTACAGAATGGGAGAAAAATCTTGCAAATTATGCACCTAACAAAGGTCTCATATCTAACATTTATAAGAAACTCAAACAAATTTACAAAAAAATCCAATCCTATTAAAAAGTGGGCAAAGGACATGAACAGACACTCCTCAAAAGAAGGCATACATGTAGCCAACTAGCATATGAAAAAAAGCTCAACATTACTGATCATTAGAGAAATGCAAATCAAAACGACAATGACATATTATCTCATACCAGTCAAAATGGCAATTATTAAAAAATCAAAAAATATTAAGACGGTGGTGAGGTTGTGGAGAAAAAGGAACATTTATACACTGTTGTGGGTTCAACCATTGTGGAAGACAGTGTGGTGATTCCTCAAAGACCTAAATTCAGAACTACCATTCAACCCACCAATCCCATTACTGGGTATATACCCAAAGGAATAGAAATCATTCTATTATAAAGATACATGTACACATATATTCATTGCAGCACTATTCAGAATAGCAAAGACATAGAATCAACCTAAATGCCCATCAATTATAGACTGGATAAAGAAAATGTGGTACATATACACCACGGAATACTATGCAGCTATAAAAAGAATGAAATCATGTCTTTTGCAGGGACATGGATGGATGTAGAGGCCATTATCCTTAGCAAACTAACACAGGAACAGAAAACCAAACACCGCATGTTCTCATTCATAGCTGGGAGTTGAACATTGAGAACACATAGACACATAGAGGAGAAAGACACATACTAGGGTCTACCTGAGGGCAGAGACTAGGAGGAGGAAGAGGATCAGTAAAAGTAACTAATGGATACTAGGTGTAATACCTGGGTGATGAAATAATCAGTACAACAAATCCCCATGACATGCGTTGCCTATGTAACAAACCTGCACATCGTGCACATGTATCCCTGAACTTAAAATAAAAGCTTAAAGTTTATAATGTATATAAAGTTTATATATATGTATATATACACATATAGATGCTTTAAATGTATCATACTGCCACACCAGAAAGCGCTTATCCTAATTGGGTAAAGTGCTCAAAATTATTATAATTGATATATTTGAATTTGAAATAAATTACATAAAATACTATACAAATGATCATGCCTCTGTTATAAAAGTTGTATTGATATTTAATCATTTAAACAATTTGATTGTACATATCCAGAAGTCTTTCTCCCCTAGGGTATTTTATCAAGTTGCTAGGAAAGCAAATTCAGTTGTGGCACTCCCCGCCAGCACTATTTATTTCATGTTGCTTCTTTTGCTGACACTGTTACATGTCCAGGGGACAATAAGCTTGGTGTCATCACTGTGTGCCTGCTTGTGTTGACTCCTTCACATCCTATAATAAATTCTCAATATACAAGTTTGGGATGCTTTCTGAGGGATCTGGCGTTAAAGCTTTCTTTCTTGAGGTCTGAGAAATAAAAGAGAAACTCCACCATGGCTCCCTTTCACCTGGCTGACCTGGGAATTCCAGTGCCAACTCCTTCCAGAAAGGCATCATTCAATTCCTAGGTCTCCATGGAGCCTCCATAGCTGCTGCATGCCTCTTCATGGAAGGAAAGGCAAACTGGGGAACTATTTATGCTTCAGGATCCCTGGTTTCCCTATATCACTTCAGGATACTCCAAGATGACAGCAATTCATCCCACCACACTGGTTTGATAGGTTTTAGGTAACTAACTGGATGGTGAGACAGACTAGACTTTGCTGACATCAAACACTTTGTCACAGCTTTCTCTCCAAACATATACTATACTTCTAGATTTCACTCTAATTTCATTTTTTTTTCTTTGGTTTTGAAGGCCTTCTCCCAAAACATACATTTTCTCAGCAGTGATCCTCTAGAGTCTGCTGTCATCTTGTTCTAAAACCATAATTCTATCTCGAATCTTCCTACATATATAGCTATGCTAACTCCTTTCCCCCTCTCTTCCTGACAGTAAAAATAACAGACTCTAATTTCTGACTTTCCAGGATGTCATTTTCTTTTCTATCTTTAGGGCAGCATAAGCCTGTTCCAAAAACGGGGTAGTGAGAAGGGATAGGGAGGTAAGCAGAACTCTCCGTTTGGGGATGAGTGTCCAAAAGGACTTGTGTAAGGAGAACCGCCACCCGCCACGTGGAGTGGAGGGAAGGCAAAGCAAAACAAAAGGCCTTGCTTCAGCCAGATTCTCCAAAAGGACCTTCCTATGAATACAAAGATCAGCTAATTTGTATGCAGGAATTTAAATATGAATCATTCAGTATTTGCTTCCCAGATTTTTTAATGCTTTGAGAGATGTTTAAAAATAACTTGTCTTCGTGATGTTATACATGAAAGTGGAAAAATGTATTTCATTTATGTGAAATGTATATGTTTATTTTTCTGAAATTGCCCTTAAACTGAAAAATTTCTTCCTTAATATTCAATTTTCATTTACTTTTGAGTGATAAAACAAGCATTCTGTTTTAGGTTCTTCGGAGATTATTTCTCAGAGAAAATGAGAAAGACTATTTGGGTTTATCATAAATCTTCATGAAGTCTATGTGAACAGAAAAAAAAGTGCACTTTTTCTTACTGGAATTACAATTTTACTACATATTGTTAAACAATTAATACATCTAATTTTATAGAAGAATTCTATCAGAATTTAATTCTAGCTCCTGGGATAGACTTAGCTTTAAGAGACTACACAATCAATATGCAGAATATTAGACATGTTGGGGCTTCCAAAAAACATTCATTGAAAATTTAAATATTGAGGATACTGTGAAGAATACTATCATAATTTTTGTTGTTTTCTTTTACAAGAAAGACTTTTGGATTGTGAGTTCTCCCTATGATGACTGTTCCATGGCCAGGTTCCTTATACTACTAAGAAATGTATTTCTTCTCAAAACCTCCCCTGAAGTAGTCATTATAACATCTCCTCCCAACACCTGTCCATAACAACAACAAATTGTGTTCTTTTCAGGGTTGGGTACGGAACAAAACAGAGACTGCGAAAAGATACTTGTTGTAAACTGTTTTCTGTTTACAAATGCAACAGCAACAAATAATTTTCTTATCAGAACCTAAATTCTGACACCATACTGCAGTACAACAGTGTGCCATTCAAAAGGGGGAAACAAGCTAGGCGTTTGGAAATGCACTGGGAAACAGATCCCCATACCCTGAGGAGACCTAGCTTTATGCCAAATTGAATTATTTTGAAAACTCGTGAATGACATTAGCTGAGGTTAAGTGACAGAAGTGAGTGTGAGAAAATGAATGTCCTGTTTAATGACAGGGATGGTTGGGTGATGTCAGAATACTGATAAGAAACCTCTATACACATTACATGGTCTAGCCAAATAAGCGTTGCACTTCTTTTACATATGAGTTTTGAACATATTCAAACAACTAAAATAAAACTCTTGGCCCGGAGCGATGGCTCACACCTGTAATCCCAGCACTCTGGGAGGCAGAGGCAGGTGGATCACTTGAGGTCAGGAGTTCGCGACCAACCTGGACAACAAGGTGAAACCCTGTCTCTACTAAAAATACAAAAATTAGCCAGCCTTGATGGCGCATGCCTGTATTCCCAGCTACTTGGGAGGCTGAGGCAGGAGAATGGCTTGAACCTGGGAGGCAGAGGTTGCAGTGAGCCAAGATCATGCCATTGCACTCCAGCCTGGCCTACAGAGCAAGACTCAGTCTCAAAAAAAAAAAAAAAAAAACTCCTGAAATCTCAAGGTCTCAAGGTCATTTGAGATAATGACTGTTATATTGTATGACAAAATACAGATACATTCTTATGTAATTCAACACTCATGGACAAGACATGAATCATTACAAATACAAAGAGAAAACAAAATTATTCACAGAATTTTTATTGAGGAAGTGAAGGTGAAATTAATCTCTTTTAGCTGAATACAATACATTTCAGGAATAAGTGGTTAATTTTCTGGAGATGATGATTTTGAGGTAGCAGTTATATTATTCTGTGTAAGTGCTGTATTATGTTGTATCTGTCTACACAGAGTATAGAATCTATTGAATTTCCATGTCTAACTTGAAATGCTAATGTAGGACTGTATTTTTCAAAAAGTATACATGGTTAACTCAGCATCCAATGGTTTGAAATGAATTCCTTTTGATTGTTTCTATAATGATTGATTTTAAAAGAGTTTATTATGCCACATGATTTTCACACATATGGTTATATGTAGAGTTCTACTGTGATAATTATTCTTTAAATTTTTTATACAAAGTAAGATTATTTATAATTAAACATGTACCATATTCCCTACAAAAGTAAATATAGTCATTTAAGTATTCAAAGCAGAAGGCCATAGGCTTACTGTCATTAGCTTTGTTTTTTAACTGTAATTTTGAACACTTCATAAAATAAATGTTAAGCTAGTAATGACAACTGAGAGGTTTTCCCTGGAAAACTTGTTTCAGTCCTAATCAGAGTTATAATATTTACAGTGACATGATTATTTGTATTTAAGAGACTGTTAGTATCTCATTTAAGAGACTGTTAGTATCTCACTAATCGTACTTTCCTCAGCTCCACACATTTATAGCAAACCAATATCTAATTTCACAACAATCTTTTAGGCACAATTATCTCAAATATTTGAAAAACTTTTTCATGAATAAAATGGATCATTTTAAATCTTGCTTCTGTTGTACAGGATAATTGACAACCCAAATGCCTAAGGTAGTTAGCAAATGTGAGTCCCACAGTAAAAGCCAAACATGCAAATCTCACCGTGCCAGGCACTGTGCTAGACAGTGAAGGTGAAAGATAAATAAGAAATGGTTCTTCCTTCAGAAGGCCCCAGTCTAGTGAGAGACTGCCAAATGAACAATTTCATAAAGCTATGCTAGAGGGAAGGACAAGATAAGGGAGCCACATAGATGGAGATGTAATTCAATTTAGGGTACAGTAAGAGGTTTCAAAGAAAACTTACTGAAGAAAATCATGTCTAAATCACATTGAGTTCCTTCATTGATCTCACAGGTCCTAAAATCCTACAGCAAAGTGCCCTGTTCCTTATCTTAAGAGAGTCCTCTTGATACTACTGTATGATTCTCTGTCCATTATGAACACATTGTCTAAATGTCTATACCTAGGAAATATTATCCTGCTGACCTAGATTCTCTTGTAATCTGCATTCTCTGATAAGACAGCCACTAGCCACCCGTGGCCACTTCATTTTATATTTGTTTATTTAATTTTTAAATAATTAATACAATGGAATAAGACTAAAAATTCAGCTACTCATTTGTGGTAGCTATATTTCAAGTGATCAATACCCACATATGGGTAGTGGCTACTGTATTGGACAGTGTGAAGGACAGTTCTATCATTGCAGAAATATTTATGGGACAGCTATGCTGTAGACAGCACCTTTCTACATTCACACACTTTCCATGGATTGATCCTTCTGCTCAATCCCAAATTGATTTATGGACCTAATCTGCTGGTAAAATCTTCCAGTACATAAGAGTCCAGAAGACCCTACCAAATCTCATTAGAGTGGCCTGATTACTTAATTCTCACTGCTTGATCAAATTCTCAGAAGAAATTACTGTGCCTCTAAAACTTTTAAGAAAATTTACATCCTTACTTTATTGAATTGATATGTTAAAAAGTGACATGTAATTCCTTTATACCTGTTGGCTTAATAGGTATTCCAACATGCCTTTTCCTGAATACCCTTCTATCTTTGCAGATTATGGTAGGAGAAGGAATTCTCTACTGTTGCCTCTCCAAAAGAAGAAATGGGGTTGGACTGGAGCCCAATATTAATGCCGGAGGCTGCAACTTCAACTCCTTCCTCAGACGAGCCGTCAGATTCGTTGGTGGGTGTGGGGAACCACAAAGAAAAGAAATGTTTTCTTTTTCAAATAGAAATGTCATATTTAATTATAGATATTAAGTCTCTTACACTAAAATTTAGATGTATAATTTCAGTACATGATGAGTTTTACATTGTACAAGAAACTGCAGTGAAACACCAAATTGGGCTTTGTATCTGAAATGTGTTATTTACATTTGTTGCCCTTGTTTTGAGAGCTAATATGCCATGCATTTCAACTTATTTGTGCCTTAGCTCTGGTTGAAGCATGAATTTATTTTAAAATGGTTTCGGTGGATCTGTGTTCAGTTTTTTAAAATGGAGAACAAACGTCAGCAGGCCAGAATGAACAGACAACTCTTCAGAAATTACTTCAGTCACACGAATGATTCCATTTCAATTTTCCTGGAGTGTTTTTATCCAGAAGTTACTACACTTTGAAATGTCACCATTGAGTACTGCATCATGGCCATTTTTCCTTGGTTGTAGCCCCTAATGTTACCTTTCATCTTTCATGAGACCTATAGAAAATCTATAGACCTGGCTATCATCATCTGAATCAAACCAGTTTTTAAACCTTTGTCTCTTCTGCATAGCATGGGGCCATCTTAATGTTGTTCCAGTCATAGGTCTTTTATTTCTTTTAATATAGTTGAATAGTCACCCACAATACATCACACCCACCTGAATGTTTTCTATTCATTCCCAGTAAGTCGGCATAAAATTATTTTTACCTATAACATGTAAGCTCAAAATAATTGATGGCTTTGCTTAATCCCTAGTAGATAATTATACACAAATTTCTTTCCCACAAGAGGAAAAATCAGGTCTAACTCATGCCCCGGACTCTGCTCCACTAAGCATTTTCTTCCCATCACATTGAGAAGATAAGAAAACAATAGACAGCTTAACAGCATCGCAAACTCAGGCAAGGAAATAAAACTCCAGGACATGTAGCTGAACACAGAGAAAATATTCCCTAATGTAACAAAATACTGTGGACAAAGGGCCACATACCCTCTCTCGACTGGAAGGATGATCCATTCCACCCTAGAGAACATGTTCCAGAGCCTGCGTCAGCAATAGGTCTAGAAAGTCCATTATCCGAAGGAAAAAGTAAGTCTTTGCATGCTTCTAGGAATTAGAATGTGGCAACAAAGTTTCTGTGTCATGAATCCCAGGTGTGTGGGTGGAGAAGCAATTGGAGGAGTGGTGGTTAGGTGACAGTAAGCAGTGAAGAAAAATGCAAAACAGGGTAATGTGCAAGCCAGCACTCTTGGTCTGGAGGCGGTGACTGAAGAATTACCCTGGTCCTCTCATAATGATTTCTATGAGTAACTCATGAATCAGAATGCAAGCTGTCAAGTCAGAATGAATCTAGGGTGACAAGAAAACCTAGAGTGAGCAGGTTCCAGATCATGTGCCTGTGAGCAGAGAGTTGGACTCCCAAAGATAAGGCCAAGCAAGCAATTTCAAGAAGATATGGAGTTTGCATGTACAAGTGCAAGGATTTTTTATTTTATGGTTTAAGACTGGTCCTAGGAGAGAGAGAAAAAGGAATTTGGACCAAGAGATGTAAGAACAGCATGTCCAAATTCCAAACACACAGGTAGGCTCCCCACATTAGTGTACCTAGGATATGATTGTCATTTCCATGTCAGGGCCTGCCTGACGTTGTCTCTGCTTTAATTAGCATTCCTAGTATGATCACAGCTTGAAGAGAATTAGAATGGATTCTGCAGAGTGTGACGACTGTGGCTAGTGTTAGAGACCATCAGGGAGAAATAACCCTGGCAACTTAAAAATGCTAAGCAAATTAAAACTACTTTAAATTTTGCTTCATTCCACACATGTCATTCCTCTCAAATCATACCTTAGCATGCTCCAAGTGTCTGACAAGTGACTTACAGTTAATGTTAAGAATTGGTCCTTTATAACCAAATTAACAAAAGTGCCTAAAGTTACTACTTTGGAGATACTCATTGCCTTTACTTTGGCCGTAAATATCTGTTTAGAAGTTTAGGAATGTTCTATACTGTCTTCTTGAAATTAACGTAGAGAAAATGAGCATAATAGATTTTAAGATCTTAATTCATTAATGTTTAATGAATACGTTTGATGCTGACACAACCACCAACTTGGTAACAATTTCTTTCATTTTGCTTATAGGTGTTCATGTATTTGGACTATGCTCTACAGCTCTTATTACAGATATCATACAGCTGTCCACAGGATATCAAGCACCTTACTTTCTGACTGTGTGCAAACCAAACTATACCTCTCTGAATGTATCTTGCAAAGAAAATTCCTACATTGTGGAAGATATTTGCTCAGGATCTGACCTCACAGTTATCAACAGTGGCAGGTTAGAAATAGGTCTAAAAACACTCTGCATCATTGTTTTCATTATTCAAATGCTGTTTGGAGTATCACTTTAAGCATGGCTTTTTCAGTCGTAATGGTTTTTTTTTTTATTTTTCTTTTCAATTCAATGATCTCGTCAATGACTAAACCGTAGAAACCTGTTGGGGGCTTATTCCACATTCTTCCCTATGTCTCCAAATTTCAGCCCACCTTCTTGCTACTAGTCCCTATATCACCAAACTCCACCATGTTTTGTGATCGATCCTATACTCATTATGGTTTTAGGTTACTATAAATGGTTTATTTCAGAATATTTATAGTCAGTCATGGCTGACAGTCAATATAACTCTAGGACTGGTTTAAATGGAAGACTAAACACATATGAAAGTTGTATCTCCATTACATGTTATATCAAAAAAATGTGAATTTTCCTTTTTGTAAAGTTTGAGAAGGGGTAACATCTAGGATTGCATATGATTTCTTTCAATCAGGTCTAACTCATGCCCCAGACTCTGTGCCACTAAGTTCATTCATTCTTTGAATGAACCTAGGTGTGCATAGCTTCTGGCCTTACATGTCAGAATATAAAGGAAACTCAAGAAATTACCAAAGCATAAATTTTTAATAAATAAAGCAAAAATAAACTTATATGACAAGAGACAGTAGTTTAGAGGCTCAAAAGAAATAAATTGCAGAGGGATAAGGGCCAATCAATTATTGTAAGAATTGAATTTTCCATTCAATAAGTTCCCAAATATTCACTAAGGAGTCAAAAATAAGTTAATAGGTACAACTGAATAATTAAAGCCTGATGTTATGTGATTATACACATTAAGGTTCTCATGTATCATTCAATAATTTTGGACCTACAGCCAAGACCTATGTCCTCTATTTTTTTCTCAGTCCTATTATATTAACTTATCTCTATTGAATAGGGATCTTCTTTATCATGGTACCAAATAATTAGGAAGGCAATAATTTAAGTGAATTTTATTTTTTCTAATTTTTTAATTCATTGAAACAAGTCTCTATTCTTCTTTCGCCTGCCCTTTTCAGTGTCTCTTCACCATCCTTGCCTGCTCTTTAAACTGTTTAAACAACATGATTTATGATTCTTGAGATGAAATTACTGTAAAGTGTACTACATTTTGTTAATTTTGTAGAGAAACGTTTTGTTAAAATTAGACTTTTCTTATGCTTTCTAGAGTATTAATAATATACATTTAGATCCAATGCCATGAGAAAATAACTTCATTTTTAAAAAATTCTATGTAAATAAAACAATGTATTTAGGAGCATAGAAAAAATTTACAGCTAGGTTTTGTGAGCTGTTACTTTGAACTGGGATAACTCTTACACCAAAGAACAATGATGTTTTCCAATCCATTTCTACTTTCAACCATCGTTCTAGTGATGTAATGAAGCGGCCCCTTGCCAAGCTAGCAGTTCTTTATACTGGAAAGTACATCACTATTATTTGTTAATATTAATGGTGACTAGCAGTATTTACTTTATCACTAAGGTCTTTCACCAGAAAGCTGAACAGAAAGCAAAATTATTGCTTATTGTCTTGTGATTTTAAGTTGAACGTTCTAACCACTCAGTGTCTTTGAGATTATTGCTAACAGTGTATCTGAACTACAAGGCATAATTTGACTATCTTCTTTTGGCAGAAAGTCCTTCCCTTCTCAACATGCAACCCTTGCTGCCTTTGCAGCTGTGTATGTTTCGGTAAGTAACTGGTTCTTTTTGTTGAGTTGTGTTCTGCAGAAAATCTGAGCAATGAATGTTGTCTCCAGGTGACTAATTAGATGATATACCCATGTAATAACAGAATGGTAAATTTAGTACTGCAGCCTTAAAATACAATGGCATCCAAAGCAGAAATCAAACGCTACTATAAAAAATAGTACAGTAAAGGAATTTTTCTACACAGTTATAATAATATTTATTTATTCTGGTATCCCTTTAATATTATACTTCATGGAAGGATATTGTGAATTATAGGAATGTTACAAAACTTGAAAGAATCACAATAAGTACCCACAAAGACATACAACGTGCACACACATACACACACACAAACACATGCACACACATATGCTACTTTAGTATTTCTGTAACAATAAGTTTTAGGTCAGTGTAAATTTGGAAATGTTGTACAATGAATAGTCATTTTATCTAATTTATACAATAGTCCGTGAAGTCTTTCCTGAGAAAAATGAACGAAATTATATGACAAGTAACATGGAGACTAAACAGTTAAATGGCTAACTCTACTGGTTTGGTATTTTTCCAACCTTCATATAATTAAATGAGAGATCTGTTATTTATTTGGTAAATTTCATCATGCATATCTCTTCTTGGCAGGTACAGAACATAGCCATAGGAAGGGGGAATGAAACAGTAAAACTGAAGTCAGTTGTATCAGACTTTTAACTTTTTATTTGATTATAATTTACTAATAAAATGGCCTTTCTAACATACTTAACCCACTTCTTCCATTTTTAAGATGTACTTCAATTCCACATTAACGGATTCCTCTAAGCTTCTGAAACCTCTCTTGGTCTTCACATTTATCATCTGTGGAATAATCTGCGGGCTAACACGGATAACTCAGTATAAGAACCATCCAGTTGATGTCTATTGTGGCTTTTTAATAGGAGGAGGAATTGCACTGTACTTGGTAAATAATTTACTATTATCTTATAAACCAAAGTTTAAAATGGAAAACATGCAGAGAATATTTTGCACTATAATAACTTCCTTGCAATATATTTTAAATTTACAAGGAAATGGCCACATCTCCATTCTATGCCAAAACACATATCCCACTTTCAACAAAATCATTTATTGAACTCTTACTATGAGCCAAAAATTGTAATTTTAAAAAGATTTTTGAATTTTGTCTTTATGCCCACCAAACAGGAGGTGGGCAGGGACTTCTATTGATAGTACAATTATAATGTTACAGATGAGGAAAGTGATTATTGCCAAAAGTAAGGTTAGTGGAAACAAAAATTTAGTTAAAGGTTATATAACTTTCCCAACACCACAAATTTAGCACCTGAATGTTACTGTGATACAATTAGTATTGACTTCTTTAACACTACTCTTTTTTCAAGAGTGGTCTTCCTCTAAGGGAAATATCCTCAGCATAAGGAAAGTGAGATTGTCCATTTCATTTTGTCATGCATGCATGCATTCATGCATTTTACATTTATTCAATATCTAATCTGTGCCAGGGATTGTATTGAACATGAAAACACCGAGAAATAAGATGTATTCTTTAGAAGTTTACAATGTAAAGAATAACATAAATATAAATGGTTACAACATGTTCAATGATATAACAGGGTATGAACAAAGTATTTTGGGAATAGCAAACTGCCTGAGGACGTTAGAAAACACGTCACAAAAGTGATGTGTGTGTGTGTTGCTGCTGTTGTTGTTGTTTTTAATGAGAGTTCCATGGGGTAAAGAGAGGAGGGAGGGCATTCAAAAAGAAGAAACTACATATGCAAAGAGACAGGCATCTGAAAAAGCAAGTGGAAGTGGAAGGTGGCGGAACAGGAGGAAGGAGACATAATGGTCAGGTTTCCAACATTGAACACTGGATCAATGATGACTTCATTAGCAGACCAGGTAAATGACAGATGAAGCAGATTTGTAGGGGTAAAGGGAGTTGAGAGGATCAATTGAATCAATAACCAGTTGAGTAGTTGCTTCTGGAGTTCAAAAAAGCAATTAGTACTGGAGAAGGATATTATTTAATGGAAGTACCATTGTAGTTACTACGGGTATATAAAATTGCCAGGTCATAAAAATAAAAGGGAGCCAGGGAATACCAATAAACAAGTTACAAGCAGAAGAAAAGGCAATAATGAAAGAAACTGAGAAGAGCTGACAGAAATAAAAATAAATTATCTGTAGCTACAGTTCTCAATCATTTGGTCTTAGTGCCCTTGGAAAGGTATTACAAGAAAATGATTACCGAAATACAGGTAAAGGACTGAAGTGTGCTATAATTTTATACGTTTTTTTTTTATTTTCATAAACCAGCATAGTCAAGATTGTCACTTTAAAAGTTATTTTTACTCACATGCATTCTTCAGTGCAGGAGAAAGGGATCAAATTAAAGTTAGTGTGCCAGAAATTGTGCATAAGCCTGGATTACCTATAGGAGTGTTGGCAATGTGCATTGCAGAAGAAATAAAGAAGATTGGAAATGCCACTCTCTAGTTTATGTATCGCTTTTTGCATGTGTGTCATTTCATGATGTCCTGGAATTAGTGTGGGATTTATAGCCCAAAGGATTTGATTATGAATCCAGATTTTCCTCCACTTAGCCAAGTCACACAGCTTCTCAGAAGCCTGTTTCTTAACCTACAAAATAAAGATACTAACTCTCTGTCCCATGTCATAACAAGAATTAAACAACTACAGTTATGTATTGCATAATGATATTTTGGTCAACCATGGACCACATATATAATACCACGATGATCCCATAAGATTGAAGTACTGAATTTTTTCTATATGTTTTCTATATTTAGATATGCAAGTGCTTACCATTGTGTTACAATTCCCTAGAGTATTCAGTATAGTAACATGCTGTAGGATTTTGCAGCCTAGGAGCAATAGGCTATACCATAGACCCTAGGTGTGTGGTAAGCTATACCATCTAGATTTGTGTAGGTGAACGTTATGATGTTCACACAATGACAAAATCACCTGTCAATGCATTTCTTACAATGTATCCCTGTCATTAAGTGACACATGGCTGTACTTGTACGGAGAGCTTATAGTTTAGTGGAGGATTTTCCCCAACTTACAAATTTAAGTACAATTATTAATAGAATTCATGTAGGGATTGCTCATTCGGGTGAGAGCATAGAAAGATACTTAGAAGAAGGAATTAAACTACTCGAAGAGGCAGGAGCTTGACTTTATTCCATTTCTGTCTGCACTCTTGCCATAAAATTGGAAAATTTTCAGTTCTAAGCCAACGTTTTGTTCATTGTTAAGCATTCTATAAAATGTTAAATCAATTTTTTTTGTTTTGACTTGAAAAATAGACAGTGGTTACCTCCTTTTGAAATTAGCATGCAAATAGGTGTCTGCTGCTTGATTTTATCTCTAAACCAAGTATCTCAAAAACTGAAAGTCCAGCAGGGATTAGATCTTCTATGTGCCAAAAGGGTAATGATTTTGAGGCTGAACTTTAGGCTTTTTCCAAATTTTGCTTCCCAAATCTAAAAAATAAAAAAATAAATTAAAAAAAAAGATACACTGTGTATGAAGAAAAAATTAAATAAAATCTGGCTCAAATTTAGTGCAATGGTACTAAATTGATCAAAGAGTATTTCCCAACTTATGACCAAGTTTAAATCAGGAAAGAATCTAGGTGCCCCAGTCTGGTGATGGTTTTGCCCTCTCTTCCAAGAGCACCCTGTACAATGACGAACACACAAGGCTGTACTCAGTGTGGGTAGCAATAATACATGTCTCTGACCTTATTTCAAAACCAGATATCATGTTTTATGAATGATATATTGTTCTATATTTTGTACACCTCTTCTACTTTCCATCATATGATTGAAAATGGAAGGTAAAATAAATCATTTAAGCCATTTGAGATGTCACTCAACAAGAAGTTCCTAAATCTGGAGAAATGAATTGCTTTGAAAAGCAGGAAAAAAAGTCCTTATTTCTCTCTTGTCTGCTTTTTCTTCTGAAAAAATACACAAGATAAGATTGACAAAAACATCCAATAGGATGGAGAAAAGAATGGGGTTCACATTGCTGAGCAATTCATGCAGTGATTTATGATATAACTAACTATTTCCTGCAAAAATATAGTTTTCATGTTTCATTATTTGTATTAGTCAATGGTGTGTAAGAAGCATATACCTATGTATGTACTTCAGTGGGTATTCTAAGGAAATCCTTGTGACAGTCTTCTAGTGCATGATATTTATTGCTTTTTCTCAAACACTAGGGCTTATATGCTGTGGGGAATTTCCTGCCCAGTGATGAGAGTATGTTTCAGCACAGAGATGCCCTCAGGTCTCTGACAGACCTCAATCAAGATCCCAACCGAGTTTTATCTGCTAAAAATGGTAGTAGCAGTGATGGAATTGCTCATACGGAAGGCATCCTCAACCGAAACCACAGAGATGCCAGCTCGTTGACAAACCTCAAAAGAGCAAATGCTGATGTGGAAATCATTACTCCACGGAGCCCCATGGGGAAAGAGAACATGGTTACCTTCAGCAATACCTTGCCGCGAGCCAATACCCCATCTGTAGAAGACCCTGTCAGAAGAAATGCGAGCATTCACGCCTCTATGGATTCCGCTCGATCAAAGCAGCTCCTCACCCAGTGGAAGAATAAGAATGAAAGTCGAAAGTTGTCCTTGCAAGTTATAGAGCCTGAGCCTGGACAGTCACCACCCAGATCCATAGAAATGAGGTCAAGCTCAGAGCCTTCGAGGGTAGGGGTGAATGGAGACCACCACGGTCCTGGCAACCAGTACCTCAAGATCCAGCCTGGCGCTGTCCCCGGATGTAACAACAGCATGCCTGGAGGGCCAAGAGTGTCCATTCAGTCCCGTCCTGGGTCCTCACAATTGGTGCACATCCCTGAGGAGACTCAGGAAAACATAAGCACCTCCCCCAAAAGCAGCTCTGCTCGGGCCAAGTGGTTAAAAGCTGCTGAGAAGACTGTGGCCTGTAACAGAAGCAACAGCCAGCCCCGAATCATGCAAGTCATAGCCATGTCCAAGCAGCAGGGTGTCCTCCAAAGCAGCCCCAAGAACACGGAAGGCAGCACGGTCTCCTGCACTGGCTCCATCCGCTATAAAACCTTGACAGACCATGAGCCCAGTGGGATAGTGAGGGTTGAGGCTCACCCAGAGAACAACAGGCCCATCATACAGATCCCGTCCACTGAAGGTGAAGGCAGTGGCTCCTGGAAGTGGAAAGCCCCTGAAAAAGGCAGCCTTCGCCAAACTTACGAGCTCAACGATCTCAACAGAGACTCAGAAAGCTGTGAGTCTCTGAAAGACAGCTTTGGTTCTGGAGATCGCAAGAGAAGCAACATTGATAGCAATGAGCATCACCACCACGGAATTACCACCATCCGCGTCACCCCAGTAGAGGGCAGCGAAATTGGCTCAGAGACGCTGTCTATTTCTTCTTCCCGCGACTCCACCCTGCGGAGAAAGGGCAACATCATTCTAATCCCTGAAAGAAGCAACAGCCCTGAAAACACTAGAAATATCTTCTACAAAGGAACCTCCCCCACACGGGCTTATAAGGATTGAGTGATGTCCATTCCATCATTTGGGCTACTCCCAAAAGACCATTTGTCGATTCTACCTGTGCTCTGTTCCAGCGAATTGGAAAGTCTCACCAAGCTAGATTGTCTATCATCAGCCCAGAACTCTGTAACTTTTCAGAACCGCTATACTCAAACTTGTAGATCTCACATCAAGGAGAGGGAAAAGCACAATGCAAGAACCTAACTAACGTGATGGTGTGAAGAGTTTTCTTAAGACGTGTCGTCAAACTTAAAAGGTTTTGCAGAAAGCAGTATCAAAAGAAAGTGGTTTTCTTCAAATGTATACTATTTTACTTCCTGAATGTGCCAACTTTGGGGATTTTTCTTTATAGTGAGCTGTGGGAACCCAGAACACACACGTTTTCCCTACAGCAGAGGCCATGCAGTATTATATATTCATTTTGCAGAATCTGCACCTACAGCTCAATACGGTTGGTGCTGATTATTATAGTACATATACCATGTAAACTCTCAAACTCTATTTAGCTGTGAAATAGTGGTGTGCAATTCCTTGTTAAAGAAATGCAACTTTATTAAGAAGATGCTGGCTGCTTTGTGTTAGAATAGGACACCCCGCAGCTTCTCTGTAGTGGCTCTGTCACAGTCAAAAAAAGAAAAGGTTTTTGTGCGTTTCTTCAAAATTCTGCTTTCTTCAACATCAAAAATTGTGTAGGAATATTTTCAGTGAAAGGGAATAACTAGTACTTTTCTGCATAGTTTTTCTGCTGCTTACTTTTTATTTAAGTATAGGTACTGCTAATGAATCTGTTTTCTTAGTGAGTAAATTTGCATAATTTTAATAAATATATTATTTTAGAGAATTTTTTGAAATTGTTGTGATCATATTTTGCTTTCTATGGCTTCTCCTTAACTTAATTTTTTGATGTTATAGATACATTCTCCTACTTTAAAAGCAAAAATAACAATTGACATTCCTTGAGCAAAATATACTGCTGTGAATTTGCAAACAAGAAATCTGAGCCAAAACTTGACATTGTGGGTTACATTGCCAGAAATGTTGGTCAAGTTTGCCCTTAGATGTCTACAACTAGCTGGCATAGGTTGCCATCTTAACAAGTAATCTAAAAGTCCCATTTGGTTCTACATTATTAACTTTTTTTTTTCTATATCCTGCTGACCAGTAAATTAGAGCCACACTGGTTAAGTTCAACCCTTGTCTCTAAAACATTTTTGTTAATTGGACACCAAGAGGAAGAATCTGAAAAAAAAAATGCATATTGGTAAGTCAAAGTAGCTCAAGGTATAAATTAAGAGTGACTTCAAAATATCTGAATACGCACAGTTTTAGTTTAATATGCAAACAACCATTTTTGCTACCTATCCTGAATCAAGCCTTGAGCCTAAATCAAAGGAAACCAATACCATTGATAATAAGAAGATAAAAACAAAATATTTTGGAGTGTTTTCCAACTTAAAGTATGAAGACATATTCAGTTCTTGGAACTTAGTATTAAACCTTTTTAACGCCATTTCATAAGAATTCTGATATATACTTGATGATTGCCAAGGGGATGAGAGGAAACCACAGAGATGGTTGATCTAATCTTAGCTCACTTTCCAATAATAGAAGGAGTTGTTTACAGATGAATAGTATCACATCATTATCAATTTCTACATGGAAAAGGGCAGAGCTTTCTAGAAAAACCAACCTTCTAAGGCATTAGGAATTTAGCTGAAACCAGCAGAATTGAAAACTCTGGCAATAAAACATGGACTCGACCATATCCCTTCTGGCAATTTCCTTCTCAGAGAGGGGAGTGGGAATAAAATGTTGCCTTCCCCACTTCTCACCACCACCACCATCATGATGCTTCTACTGGCTTTTGCCAGTTTGTAGAGGGAAAGGTGGGTTGGTTTTAGTGCTCCGAAGAACAAAAACAAACAAACAAAAACCCCTGCTACAGCATTTCAGGTGCAGTATGATATTTCCTAATCTTTCCTATTTCTTAACAAAAGATTTTAAAGTACTTCTCTAGTCATTGAAGTTTTTTTTTTCTTTACATAAATATTGATATATTCTTTTTCTACTCAAAGTGCCAAAGGCTACAGTTTTTAATGACTTAACAAATTGTACCACATTGTTAAGGACATGTAATGACAGACACTAGAACTCAGACCTCTGCATGTATATTTGATAACATGTCTTTTGTAAAAAAAAAATTACAAAAAAATTTGTTTACATTCCACTGGTACCTTAATTTAAAATAAATCAGACTAACAGGTGGTATCTCTTCTTAGTGTTCTATTTATCTTATTTGCTAATGGGAGCACTTCTTCCTTTGTTAGGCTGTGCTTTACTGATAAAACCAAGTATTGAATAAAGAGAGTTAATTATCTTTTTAAAGTAAATAAAATTATGAAAATATATATAGTATATATAAAGTATTGTGTTTAATAAAATGTTATGCAATGTTTTCCAAACTGATAAAGTTTGTAAAGTGCTATAAATGTATTTTGTTAAGTACAGATAAAAGCTATTGTGTGAGTATATTGTGCTAAAATCATAGAAATAAAGATTAGATTTCTTCATCAAAATTGGAATATTTTTGTTTTTACTTCAGAGTCTGAATAGATGATAGCTTGGCTTATAAGAAAATAACTGAGGAAATAAGAATAAATCAGAATTGATTAAATTCATAATCAATGAATTTAATACATAAACATAAACGTAATACATCATCAATATTTAGGAATGGGTTACAACTAAGAAAGAAAAGTTTCTCAATCTATGACGTTTTCTTATTGTTTAGAATTTTATTTTATGCTTATTGAAGGAGGTTTTTTATACTTTAAACACATTTTTGCATATCAATGTTACAGTGTATAAAAAAGAAAATATGAAGGACTTGACTAAGAATAGTTGATGTACTTATTTTCCCAAACAGTAGTGCCCTTTATGCCATCATGGCCATTGGTGCTGCAGCTTTTCTTAAAAGAATGCTTCACCATAAACTCCACGATATTCTTCCGAGCCATTAAGACTCATTATATGAATTTTACTGCTGATGATTTGTACATCTAACTAGAAGGTATTAGCACAAGTTTTTAGACCATAACCAGAACTTAGGATTTACTCAAATGGTCCTAAGGAGTTTGTTGAGTGATATGTGAAGTTACAAATGTCCAGTAATGCCACCAAGTTCATGTAGCTGTCCAATTGCAACCAAGCTCATACATACCAGGCAACAACATCACAATCGCTACCTGGCCAACAGCCAATGTAAGATACTGTTGATTGTAGGAAACATCCTGGTTTTAGAGAAGTTAACATATGAAAAAAAAAATGTGTATCTTATATAATGGGTGAAATACAGTTTCTCTAGGTCTTTAAATTAAACTTCTCTAGGTCTTGATTTTTTCATTTCTAAAACGGGGACATTCAGCCATATTTCCCTTTCTAAAGGATGTCCTAAAGTTCTCAATTTCTATGGATTATCATTATGTATTTTATCCAATGAGCAAAAACTGGTAAGAAAATAGGAAATAACTTAATGATCTAAAATAAGTAACTATTTAGTATTGCCATCTTTGACTACAAGGTTAATAGAAGCAAGCCAACTGGGGTTGCTGAAAGCCTACATCAACCATTTCACCACATAACATATCAAAACAGGTGGCCTGTATACATATATCCCTGGTCCTAGTACCTTTCTTATGAGGCAACAGGTGAGTAGATTCTTGGTTATTATATACTTAGGAAGCTATCATTAAGGGCCCTATTATTTCTGTCTTTTATAGGTCAAGTCTTTACTTTATGTCTATGAGTAATTTCATATTACAGGTCAAAGGGAATATGAACATGTATGCATGATTCAGAGAGTAATTTAATTAAAATAATATGAATAAAAAATAAAAATGAATTAAGATGACTTAATCTAAATTTAATCTAAACAAAAACAACAACCATGACTTGGAAAATTGGCAAAGGCCTTTTTGTGACTGGATATTTCATTTCCTCTGCTTAAATATGTTTCTGACTTTATTCTGTAAAAAGATTCTAAGATGCTCTAGGATCAGATGTTCCCATTTGAAGAAAGCATATATTTCAGTAACAGTATATAGATCGTAAGTAAGATCTATTTATAGAAGATCCCCATTGACGATGCTTTCAAGTTGAAAGAATATTTAGATGAGCCATTTGATATAGAAGTGACTTTTATTTCACTGTCCAAACAATTGTTAGCCAAAGAAAGTTCCTAATTTTGTGTATTTGTGCACCACAGTTAATGACAAGTAAAACTATAACTCTGCCACCAATTCTACTTAAGAAACTTGAATGCCCTTTTCATCTCCTTTACTCCCCTACCTTAAGATTCTGTCATTGCCTATAAGAAAAATGTATCTAAATTCTAAAGTTACATTTTTAAAATGGTACAACTGACCATTAGATGAATGAGTTTAAAGAAGAGAAAATATGAAAATTGCATTTGTATAAAATCTCATTTTCTATTTATCACCTTTTATGCCTGGCTACTTCCTTATAAGAGTGAAAGAAAGGAAGTCAAGGATAAGCCTCTTTGTCGTTAAAAAGATGATATAAGGCCAGGCATGGTGGCTCACACCTGTAATCCCAGCACTTTGGGAGGCTAAGGCAGGCGGATCTCCAGAGGTCAGGAGTTCAAGACCAGCCTGGCCAATGTGGTGAAACCCCATCTCTACTAAAAATGCAAAAATTAGCTGGGCATGGTGCCAGGCACCTGTAATCCCAGCTACTCAGGAGGCTGAGGTAGAGGAATCCCTTAAACCTGGGAGGCAGAGGTTGTAGTGAGCAGAAATCATGCCACTGCACTCCAGCTTGGGCGACAGAATGTGACTCTGTCTCAAAACAACAACAACAAAAAAAAAAAAAAAAAAGAAGAAGAAGAAAAGAAAAAAAAGATGATATATCAGTGACATCCATCATTTATAATCCACTCGATTGACCCCAACTAGATCCAGTTTAACTTTTCCTTTCATGAATCGTGCTTTTAAGGTCAAATCTAGAATATAAAAATAATTCTCAAAACTCAACAGTAGAAAAAAAACAGAGTAAATAAAAAACAGTAAAAAAGTAAAATAAAAATGGACAAAAATATGTACAGAAGTTTCACCAAAAAAGCATGTACAGATGGCAAATAAACACATGAATAGATATTCTGCATCATTAGCCATTTGGAAAATGCCAATCACAAGCACAATGAAATATCACTAGTCATCTATGAGAATGATTAACATTAAAAATAGTAATAATATCAAATACTGGTAATAATGTGGAAAAACTGAATCGCTCATATAATGCTGATGGGGATGTAAAAGGTACAACCACTCTGAAAAACAGATTTATAATATTTTAAAAACTAAGTATACACTTACTTAACCATACAACCCAGCAATTGTACTCTTGGGCATTTATCTGACAGAAATGAAAACTTATCTGCCCACAACAAAAATGGTACATATATATTCATAGTTTCTTTATTACTAATAGCCAAAAACTAGGAATAACTCAGGTGTCCTTCAATGGGTGAATGATTAAACAAACTATTATATAGTCATATCATGGAATATTATTCAGCAATAAAAAGAAATGAACTATTGATAACCCCACCAACTTGATTGAATCTCCAGGGAATTATATGGAATGAAAAATCAACACCAAATAGTTATGCAATGTGTTAATTATCTCATGCAATAAACAGTATAGATACAAGCAATCTGTATTTGAAGAGGTGGATTTTCATCTTTAATACACGGTTTTCAAGGTTGTTCTAATTGCCACAATTTCCAAGCATAAGTAGGATAGGAGTAGGAGGGAGGAAGTCAAGGATAAGTAGTTTTACCTTTAAGAAGATGCCATAACTGGTATCGATTATTTATGATCTACCCAACTGGTCCAAACTATTAGATTGGTGCAAAAGTAATTATTAGGTTGGTCCCATTGAAAGTAATGGCAACAACCACGATTGCTTTTTCACCAACCTAATAGATCACCTTTCTGCAAGAGAGGCTGAAGAATGTACTCTCTAGCTGGGAGGCCCTGGGCCCAGCTAAAATTGTGCATGTCTCTTTTCTAAGTAGGTAGAAGAGGATGAGAATAATTCCTGGGGACTAATGATCAGTCTCTGTCATACCAGCTTCAAAACACTTCACAATCTAACCTACAAATTCATATAGTCTACTACTTCTCCAGGAAAACCTGTTTGATAGATAGATATGTAGATAGATGGTAGATAGATAGATATATACAGAGTTTATTTTTAGCTCCCTTTCTGAAAAGTCTTCACTCCTCCTTTTAAAAATCCCCTTTGGTCTTCAAACTTAAATCTCAATCTTCGTCTCTACAATTTTAGAGCTGGAAGGAAACTGAAGGGATTTACTCAGTCATGCAACTGGTAGGTGTCAGGGAGGCACTGAGAACAAGGAACAGCTGTGTTCTGTTAACTTTTTCATTCCTCAAGATTAGCACATCATCCCACCACACAGGTTGGACATTCATTAAACATTTTTAAATGAATGAATCAAATAATTCATCTTCTGACATCACTAGAGTCAGTACATTTTTTAAAAGGGCTAACTTCATCTCTCCTTTTTGAAACTATTTAAAGATCTTTGATCTGTATGGCCAATGCATTTACTTAATCATACAGTTTGTATGATTAATCAATCTGATAAATGAGACACTGAATATTTACTACACACTAAACTATAAGTTCTTTATAAGCAGTTCTAGCACAACAGATGTTTAACAGATATAGAATAATTGAATGAGTACAGTGTGCTCTATCTACTGTGAATAAAAAATAAATAAAATAAGTAAATGAGACTTATTTGGAAGAGAAAGGAATGGTTGTCCATTTGAGTGTGCCCGGAAGTTCCAGTTTCTCAAAAGTCCACTCTGAGACCCTGAAGCCAAACTTATGCTATTTATGTTTTTATCTTTTTTCTTATTTGAAGCATGTTTAAAACGTGTTGACATAGTATAAGCCAGATTTCTTGGAACAAGCTGTTTTCTCACAATACATATGACCTAGCAACAGTTGTTTGTTCAGATGTTCCCACCTCCACAGTAATCTTTGTGGAGGCAAGTGCTAATAAAGTATACCTACTTACTCCAACATTTAAAAAACAAAAACAAAAAAACAGAAAACCCTCTATAGTCAAGCATGCAAGGTTTTTTTCTTAATTCAAAATCAAATAATAGACCAGGACCTACAGTGATTTCTTTGTACCTGGCATATCCACTGCTCTCTTCTTGCTACTCAGTGCGCCACTCGAATATCACAATATTTTTCAGAATTCTAGAGTAGTGAGAGTCTTTGAGGTCAGACTGACAAGTATTCAAATTTCAGCACCACCTACTGTGTGCCTCAGTTTTCTTACCAGTACAATCAGTATAATAATTTAGGGTTGTTATGGGGATTAAATGACTAAATATAGGTACAATATTTAAAATATTGTGTGACATTTAGTAAGCAGCATATAAATGTTCTTCCTTATTTTTATTATTTGGAAGTGTTCTGTGGCTTCTCTATCTCCAGTCCTCACTTCTCCCTAGAATTCTAGATTCAAATATGTAACTCCCTACTTCATTGATATCTTTACTTAAATATCTATAACTACCTCATATTTAACAGTTTCAAAATCACTTCCTGATATCTACTCCCAAACTTGTTTCTTTCTGTTAGTAATGTCTAACTGTCCACCCTCCCACCACAGCTGCTAAAGAAAAATTCTAAACTCTATCCTTAATCCATTCTTTTCTCTCACCATTCACTCTCAAACTAAGTCTTATCAGCACTTCCTCCAAAATATAACCCAACTGTGATCGCTTTTTCCTAGCCACAAAAAAATAGGATCTACTTTGGGTATTTGGGTACGAGAATAGCACTCACAGATATTTGGCATTTAGGCAAAAAGGTTGGCAAAAATGTTCTCTTCTTCCGGATTTTTTTCCAAAAAAAATCATGGAGAAATATTTGCTGTGATTTATGAAACAGTGAGTGGTTAAAGAGGGGGAGGAGTGATCAAATGTCAAAAAAAAAAAAAAAAAGAAGAAGAACCCAAACCATCCCCCCGAAAAAAAACTGTAAGGAAACTTCATATTTTAGCATGTTATTGACATGTTTTAAATGCTTTTAGAATAGAAAGTGGCATTAGAGTTCCTACAGTGGGTAGTTATTCTGGGGAAACAAATGGAATCATCAGATAAATGCAAATTAAAACCACAATTAGCTATCACCTCACATCTATTAGAATGGCTATTATCAAAAAGTGAAAAGATCACAAATGTTGGCAAGAAAAGGAAACCATTGCACACTGCGTGAATGTAAAGTGGTATACCCGTTATGGAAAACAATATAGAAGTTCCTCAGACAACTAAAACTAGAATTACCATAGAATCCAGCAATCCCACATATGGATATACATCCAAAGAAATTGAAATTTGTATGTTGAAAAAATATCTACGTTCCCATGTTCATTGTGGCGTTATTCACAATAGTCAAGATATGAAAGCAACTTAAGTGCCTGCCCGTGGATCAATGGATAAAGAAAATGTAGCATATACACGTGATGGCATACTGTACAGCTTTTAAAAAAAGCAGGAAATTCTGTCATTTAGAACACCCTGGATGAACATAGAGTACATTAAGTTAAGTGAAATCAGGCAGGTACAAAAATACACATTCTTTATCTTCTCACTTATATGTGGAACCCAAAGAAGTCAAACTCACAGAAGCAGAGATGGATACCGGAAGTGGGGGTAAGAGGGTGGAAAAATGAGATATGTGAGGCAAAGGATAGAAAACTTCAGTTAGACAAGAGAAATAAGTGTTAGTGATCTATTGCACACCATGGTGACCATAGTTAATTGTAATATATTTTATATCTCAAAATTGCTTAAAAGAGTAGATTTTAAGTGTTCTCACCACAAAAAAATAGTAAGGTGAGATAATGAATATGCTAATTCCCTTTAATTATTCTACAATGTCTACATATATCGAATATCACATTGTACTCCATAAATATATACAATTGTTTTTGTCAATTAAAAGTAAATAAAAACTAAAATATTTACAGAGTATCTCCTATGCGCTAAATACTGTTCTCTGTTTTTGAGGTGTAGCATGGGAAAAAAAGTTTCTTATTTCATACTGCTTAGGAAGTGCTGGAAAGTATGCTTTAACAAATGAGAGAGTAAATGAGAAAGAAGATATAGGATCCAAAACACAATTCTAACACACACAAATACTGAAGGGCAGTCTCAGGAGCCTAGTTGTAACCAGGTGCGGAAATCAACTAGTCCAAATTGGAGAAGGAGGCTGGAGGGTGGATGGTGAGATGTCATTAGAAACAGAATTCAGCTGAGTGCATCTGAAATGTTTGAGCATCTGGAAGAAATATTGTTAGAAATTTGACAGATCTCAGAGCATTTTGCAAAAAATTACCAATTAGACCTTTAAAGAAAAACTAAGAAAATAAAAAAGGCAACTATTAAAACTTTTGGACCAAAAAAAAATTAAAAAGTAGATTTGTACATGCTTGACTCCACAGCAAATAAAATTCACATAATAATATACATACATGAGCACCAACCATTGCCTTAATATAAATTTTTGCAACAGGAAGGTCGTTGTTGACTGTGATGAGGAAAGTGCTAGGGGACTTGCAGGAGGGAAGAGCCTGATTGGAGTGGGTTCAGGAACAAATAGGAGAGGAACTGGAGACACCAAATGTAGGCAATGCTTTCAAAAAGTTTCAGCAAACATTTATCTCAGCATCATTAAAGATTTTTATTTTTGTGCAAGTTGGAATTAATACTTCCAAAAATGCTGAAACTATACATTATATGAAAAAACATATGTAAATTTATGTTTACATGTTATTTAAAAGTTGATCCAGTCTGGGCACAGTAGCTCATGCCTGTAATCTCACTACTTTGGGAGGTCGAGGAAGGAGGATCACTTGAAGCTAGGAGTTCAAGACCAGCCTGGCTAACATAGTGAGCCCCCGTCTCTACTAAAAATTAAAAAAATAAAAGTACCTACCTGTAGTCTCAGCTGCTCAGGAGGCTGAGGTGAGAGGATCACTCGAGCCCAGGAGGTAGCGGTTATAGTGAGCTGAGATTGTGCCACTGCACTTCAGCATGGGAGACAGAGAAAGACCCTGTCTCAGAAAAAAAAAAAAAAAAAAAAAAGATTAATCCAGTTAAGAACTTTCACTACACACCCCTCTTCCATCATCAAATTTTGAATATCTCAATTTTAAGACTTCAACTGAAGGATATATACCAACTAAGTGAAAGGAAAGGTCTTAATCTACACTTATCTATAAATAGAAATTGTTTATGCAGTCAGCTTTCCTTGTCCAGGCCAAACGTTCTAGTCAAGTTTCTCCACCTTGCTGAGTCTAAATGCTAAATAACGGCTATGACAGAGAAAGAGGTGCTTCACTAGCTAAGCAAATCATTTTCTGCTAAGCAAATCAAAATGGTAAAGCATTACAGATGACAGGCTATTTTCTCTCTTCAAATTGATGTTGAGTGCATATAATCATGCACAGTCTTGGGGATTCTTTCATTATTAAGATTAATCATGACATCAGCATTTTTAAAAGCTGTTTTTCTTTAAATAGCCATGAAAGTTAGCCTCAGTGATAGGACTAGTCTCTTCCAGAGACTTCTAATGAACACCTAGCAATCAGCAGGCAATCATGTTACTCCTTGAACTACTGAGAAAGTAACTGCACAATATGACATGTCAAGAGCCCTCACCCATGTATCAGTGGCAGGTGGAATGTCATTCTGCTGAGATAAACCCAGGAGCAAGCAAAAGTGATATTCCCACAATTCCCCCGGCCCTCTGGATCTCTTCTCCCTTTACTTCCCTCAATAAAACACTTTTACCTGAAGTCTTGACCTGTTTTCTTTTGTGATCTTTTAGGTAATGTTGTCCCCTTTCAGTCTAAGCCCCTAGTGGAGTTAAAGGCATGCCCCCAAATTCATGTAGCTGGGTGTGATCCTAATTTCCACAGACTCCATTACTCAGGTCCTGGATGCTGCAGCTGTTGAAACGAGCCAATAGTTTCCTGATACCCCCATCGTGTCTGCTCTATTTTTGAACTTTCTACCTCTTTCTACAGCCTATTTCCCCAATTAGGTAATCCAATACCTGGGTTCCAGCTCTTGGATTAGAGCTGAATGAAATCTCCAGGAATTCCTTGTGGCATTAGTCTTGTCAATCCTATCCTGTAGATAGGATAAGATCCTTCAACATTATCCTCTAGAAGCTACAAACGTGACTGTGCTTTCCATACTTTCTATTCTAGCTTCACAGTCTTTCCTCTCCACTGAAGGAAGTCCAGTATTGCTGCTAGCATGCTGCACAAATGAATCATATATTCTAATCCTGCCAGAAGAAAATACAATAATTGCAGTAATTCTGGAGTTCAGATCTGATAAACAGTAGCAACTTTCAAAACAAGTGAAATGGCATCTCAATTCCATCAGATCTGGTGATCTTTGGAATTTATTTAAAAAATGCCAGAACCTAGCTTAAGGTTTGCTATTTTGTTGTTGTTGTTCTTTCAAAAGTAGTGATTAAGAGAGAACATCCACCATGTTTTCATTTCAGTTCTGTCACTTTCTACTTTGTACTAAGTCTCTCAATTTCCTTGTTTGTAAAGTAAGACGCAAACTACCATGTGCCTAGATAATTGCCGGGAATAAAGGACAGCGTTAGGGAAGGGCCCTCAATCTCATAGAGAATAGCAAAGAGTAGCAAGACTCCAAAAGAGAAGACTAAGCAAACAAATTGACTTGTGACAATTGCACACATCCCAAGAGTAGACAAGACACACTGGATCAGAGAACAATTTATTACTCACATCACAGCAAACATCAGGAGCGTCAAGTAGTAGCACAAATTTCCCCAAGTCCTGTGAGGTGAAACAGTGGGTCCAGATGGTGATTACGGCTGGGGAACCCAAGACTAAGAGTTCAGCACAATTTGTAGCAAGAAGTAAACAAGCCATTTTCCCTCCAGCAGGGAGCAAGCAGGACCTAGGTATTCATGTTTTAGTCACCTCAAACTGCTTGAGACCCTACATGAAAAATTAAGTAAATGGTTCTTGATCAGAGGACACTTAGGTCTTGCAGTTAAACATACTCAACAAAGACATACAGAGGCTATAGGGGAACCACAACAGACTGTCTTGTTAACAGTAAGCTTAATGAGCCTTTGATATGGCTATTTTAAACAGCACCCTGGCACATTTGTGATACTTTCACTATGTAATAAATAAGCAAAGTGATCTTTCAGGAAATTAGTCTTTTCTAACTCTATACATTTAAAATTAATTGGATTTATCATTTGTGGGAGATATTGTATACATGTTTGTAGCTGTATTTTAAAATCAGATGATAACTCCAGATTAGAGGCAATCTTGTAGAGTGAATAAGGGCTTGAGATATAGTCACCAGATTTGGATTCAAGTCCCAGGTCTGCCACTTCCCTGCAGTGTAAATCTTAAGCAATTATCCTTTGATCTCTCTGAACTTCCATTTCTGCCTCTGTAAAATAAAATTTTAAAAATATCAGTCCAAAAACACGAGCTCACAAAGATTTTTGAGACTCGGATTGATGGTACATCTACAATTTCTTTTAAAATTATAAAAGATTAGTAAATACCATAAGTATAAACTAGCAAATAAATTTAGGGTTTGCTTAAAATTCATAATTTAACTTCCTCGTTATACATAGCTGAAGCTGTAATAAATGAGATGTGATATATTCAAGTAAATCACTTCAGTGAATGCTGCAAGTATACCTGTGGATTGGCAATGCTTAATTATTTCCACCTGTGATTCAGCAGGCCGCCACCAGGAGATGGTAGCACTATTTGTGTTCTATTATTAGAATGCAATGTTTAGCTCCAATACTTCAGCATAGCAATTTAAATTATAATGAATACGTTACTTAATATTTATTAAAATCAATAGATTGCTCAAATATTAAATATATGCATTTATATGATAACATAAAGAAAATTTCACGTAGAGGAGGATTTTAAGAAATGTAAAACCCAAACATAAAGCAGCTTGGTTTATTTAAACTAATTTTAGTCACCAGATAAATCAACACTTAGGGGAAAATGTAGTGTAGACTCTACTTTCTGCACCTGGGAGGAAGTCCTTTGTAGCTGCTGCTGCCACCTAGATATGAAACTAGAGTGGGTCCCTTCCTCTCCTTCCTTTAAAGCAATGGGGCTCAGGGCGCACAAAGGGCTCCAACATAGTTGTTTGAAGTGTATTGCAAGTGTTGTTATTTCTGTTGCTTTTGCTGTTGCAAGCTTGCTCAGTGCTGTGACAAGACAGAAACCAGATATTATCTGCTTTGTGCTCGTGCAGAACTCTAGTACCAGCTCAGCATGTACCTGCAGTAAGTAGTAGGCTACTTGAGTCCTCAGAGTAATCTCACAAAAATCTTATTACTTTTCCCACCTTACAGATCAGCAAACTGATGAGCTGAAAGATTGAGAACCGAGATTTTAATCCATTTTATGAGATTTTAATCAATTTCTATCTTTGTTAATCAATGGGCACCAGGAGCATGGCTGGAATGTATGTATTCATCCTGGCCCAGAACTGCAACGTACCCAAGAAGTCACCATTGTATCTCAGTTCTGTTAATGTTGCTTCGGTCCACTTCCACACATGCTTTGACAGATCTTACAGCATAATCATTGAACTGTTTCCTTACCAAGTCAGAGAGAATTCTTTCAGCTTTGTGGTCTGGGTTGCTAGAAATATATAAATACATGCCATGGGGGTTTGTGCATGTGTGTGCATAACCTTTAAGGGAAAATATACACCTGTAAGTATGTTAGCTGAAGCTCCTAAGTAGTGGCTGTATGAATATTTTATGTTTCCTCCTGGCCATTGCTTCTGTAACCTGTTTCTAAAGTGATAAAAAGAGAGAGAGACAGAATACAAGAGAGGCCAGTTTCCATAGGAACACAGGTAACAACGGAAAAACCTGTTAGTCTAGAAGACTACCTCCAGGTAAGCTGAACTCACACCACCAGTATTATGAGCAACGCATGTACCCAATTTAATTGCATTTCAAAACGTCCTCTCTAAAAACCTTCCATGGGTAGTATTCACAAATTTTTTCAAAGTATAGAAACAGGATCTATCTGACCTCTAAAAATAAAAATATTTTAAATGAGAAAATGAATTACAATTTTTTATTTGTATTGGTACTATTTGAGTATAAGAAAAAAGGCCAGCATACAACATAAATACTCTAGGAGAAAATCAAGGCAATGCAAAGTAATTACTTTTTCTTAATTATTGGCTTTGTAGTACATCTAACTGCCAAACATGTTAGCTACTTGAGAGAGAGCCTGAAGAGTCAAAAAAATAATAAGCAATAAGTAACATAGAACATTTATAAATTTACAAGATGAATTGCTATGAAAGAATTTGATTTAGAAAAAAGTTGGTAACTTACAAATAACTTCCGATAAACAACATAAGAAAGCAAGATTAATCTGTACTATATTTTAAGAGCCCAGAGAAAAAATTCCATTTTAGAAAAATATGTAATTCTCCAGAACATCTGCATACAGCTTTCAAAGAGGAGTTTAGGTATTACCATTTTAACAGCAGATAAGTTCTCGAAACTTTAGTATTACCTTCAAATTCTTTCCTTTTTCTCTTCATGTCCAACTTCTGATAAAACTCTGCATCTTGTCAATTCTCTTCCTTCCCCGTGACCTCATAGCACTCTTTTCCCCAAATGCTCTAGGTCCCCACACTGTAGGCTTACGATGCTCAGAAGCAGACCCACCTTGGCTTTTTTGCATTTCCTTACCCACACTCCAAGCCTTAGTGGAGGGAGAAGGTTCTCATATATTTGTTAGACAGATCTGATTAATTTTTTTTTTTACAATATCATGTGAATGACTGATGGGGAGGTCAATGTATTACACTTCACAGGGTGATCTACATTTAAAAGAGATATTTAAATTAAAAAATTAATTTGCTGGTGTGAATCCTTTGGAAATTGAGGAAATTTTTAACAAATAAATGAATAAATGAATACTCAAAGGAAGAATTAATTTATGATGTTAGAATTTCAGCAGCAACTGAACTATAAACCCCAATAATCTCCTACTTTCTATAATTTGGGCCACTATCCCCTTTACATATAGTCCTCAACTCTGCAACAAAATTTTGGAAACTTAGAAGCAATCTGATTTGTTCTTTATCACCTCTTCCCACAATGCTGAATTTATAGCACTGGGTACCTTTAAAAATAGAGATAAAGGTAGGGCTTAAAATCAGAAGATGTTTAAGAATCAGCAAGAGCTACCACATGACCTTCTCACTGTTCCTTTCCCACTTCTGCAGAAGACTTCAACTTTGTCCTTGAGACTATAAGACAGAGGCTTATTTGAGAGGGTAAGAGGTCCATCCCTGGGAAGCACTCATCACAGATAGGAACAGAAATCCTTATTAAAATCTCAAAGTTACTCACCTAGGAGAATTTGACTGGCACAAGAGAAAAGTGCTAAAGGGATTGATATCAACCCAGCCAGATTAACCAGATGGGGTATCAGTGAATCAAGAAAACATAATAGTCCCAGGCATGCATGCACCCATTAATAGAACTTTAAAATATATAAAGCAAAAATTAACAAGTCCACATTCACAGGTGGATATTTTAACATCCTTCTCTTTGTAATTGATAGGTAGAAAAATATCAGTAAGCACACAGAAGTTTTGAACAACATTGCCAAAACTTGACCTAATTAATGACAGGCTGGATAAAGAAGATGTGCTACAGATACACCATGGAATACTATGCAGCCATAAAAAGGAACAAGATCATATCCTTTGCAGGGACATGAATAGAGCTGGAAGCCATTATCCTCAGTAAACTTAGAAAGGAACAAAAAATGAAACACTGCATGTTCTCACTTATAAGTGGGAGGTGAACAATGATAACACTTGGACACAGGGAGGGGAACAACACAAAATGGGACCTGTCAGAGGGTGGGGTGTGGGGAGGGAGAACATTAGAAAAAATAGCTAATGCATGTTGGGCTTAATACCTAGGTGATGTGTTGCTAGGTGCACCAAGCCACCATGACACACATTTACCTATGCAACAAAACCTGCACATCCTGCACATGTACCCAGGAACTTAAAATTAAAAATATATATATATATATTTTACCGGGTCCAGTGGCTGACGCCTGTAATTCCAGCCCTTTGGGAGGCCGAGGCGGCTGGATCACCTGAGATCAGGAGTGAAAGAGTAAAACTCTTTTAGAGATGGGGTACCCACCCCATCTTTACTAAAAATACAAAAAGCATCTGGGCCAGGTGTGGTGGCATGTGCCTGTAATCCCAGCTACTCAGGAGGCTGAGGCATGAGGATTACTTGAACCCAGGAGGCAGAGGTTGCAGGGAGTTGAGATCACACCACTGCACTCCAACTCGGGCAACAAGAGCAAAACTTCATCTCAAAAAAAAAAGTAACGTTTAGCTCCAATAGCTCACTACAACCTCTGCTTCCCTGGTTCAAGCCATTCTCCTGCCTCAGCCTCCAGAGTAGCTGGGATTACAGGTGCCGCCACTACACCCAGCTATTTTTTTTTTTTTTTTGGTATTTTTAGTAGAAATGGGGTTTCACCATGTTGGTCAGGCTGGTTTCAAACTCTTGACCTCGTGATCCACCCACGTCAGCCTCCCAAAGTGCTGGGAGCCACCACACCTGGCCTTATTTATTTATTTATTTATTTATACATCCATACATACATACATACAACTGCAGAATATGTATTCTTTTTATGTGCACAATGAAATACTAAGATGGACCATCTGCTGGGCCATAAAACAAGTCTTGTTAACTTTAAAAGGATTGGATTCATATGTTTTCATACCATAACTGGATTTTTTAAAAAAACCAATAAGATATCTGGAACATCCCCAAATATTTGGAAATTAATCACCTTCCTTCTAAATAACTTTGGAATGAAAAGGAAATCACTAAAGAATTAGAAAATATTTCTTATTAAATGATAATGAAGATACATACAACATACCAAAACTAGCAGGATGCAGCTAAAGAAATACTCTTGCTATACTTAGAAGGAAATTTATAGTTTTAAATGTCCATATTTAAAAAGAAAAATGCAAAGCCAATGATCTAAAGCAAGGCACTGTGCTAGACAGTAGAAATACAGTGGTAACTAAAACAAAATCCCTGTCTTAGTGAATAGAGTGTGGTGCAATGATTGTCATGTGTTGGCATGAATAATCATCACCAGGAGTATTTATTAAAATGCAGAATTATTAAAGTGTAGACCAAATTACAGTTTTCCCTTATGAAGCAATCACTGTTTTGGAGATGCTCTTCACAATGAAAAGATCCATGTGACTAATAAACATATGAAGAAGTCCTCAATTTCATTACATATTAGGAAAGTGCTAATTAGAAACCGCAATGAGAATTCACTACACACTCACAAGAATAACTAACGAAAAGAACAATAAATGCTAACTGTTGCAAACATGTGAAACAACTACAACTCTCATCCTGTCGATGGGAGTTTAAATTAGTATATAACCACTTTGGAGATCTGTTTGGCAGTATCTGCTAAAGCCGAATATGTGCATTCCTCATGACTCAGCAACTCACTTCCTTAGTATCTACTCTATAGAAGTACTTACATATTGATCCAAAATGGTCAGAGCAACAACAATGTTGAGAGCAGTGCTGTTTGTAAGAGCCAAAATGAAAACTACATTAATGTGTGTCAACAGAACAGATAAATGAATTGAAACATTCATACAATTAAATGCTATACAATAATACGGGGAGGAAACTACAAATAAATGCAAAAGGTAGATAAATACCATAAAGATAATGAGTAAGAGAAGCAGCATCCATAAAAGAGTATATAGAAAATACTTCTATTCAGACAAATTTCAAAAATAGGCAAAGCTATTCCATGATGGTAGAAGTTGGAATAATGTTTAACCTTAGGAAGTGTGAATAGTGACTGGTAAGGAACCTGAGGGTAACTTTGGGATGTTGACAATGTCCCATTCCTTGACTTGGGTGCTATTTACATGAGAGATGATATGGTTTGGCTGTGTCCACACCCAAATCTCATCTTGAATTGTAGTTCCCATAATCCCCACAAGGCCTGGGAGGGACCCCGTGGGAGGTAATTGAATTCTGCAGCAATTTCCCCCAGGCTGTTCTCGTGATAGTGAGTGAGTTCTCATGAGATCTGATGGTTTTATAAGCGTCTGGCATTTGCCCTGCTTGCACTCATTCTCTCTCCTGCTACCCTGTGAAGAGGTACCTTCTGCCATGATTGTAAGTTTCCTGAGGTCCCCCCGAGCCACACAGAACTGTGAGTCAACTAAACCTCTTTCCTTTATAAATTACTCAGTCTTGGTTATTTCTTCATAGGAGCATGAGAATGGACTACTACAAGTGGGTTCACTTGGTGAAAATTTACTGGGCTGTACACATAGAAATTGTCATATATAATATTAAAATTTTAAATAAAGGCAGAGGAAATATTCCCCCTTAATTTTATTTGACTCATAAAAGTCATCAGCAAAGTATTTCATTGTCAGGATTTCTTATTCCTAAAATTGCCAACTACTGTTCTTTATCTCATTACATTTAGCTAAAATCACTTGTACTGCTTTGTTAGTTCTCATACTTAGTATGTACAATTTGGGTGTTTGGATAAATGAAAGGCCATTAACACTCTCAAAATCAAATAATAAGGTCAATTTTTCATGAAGAGAATTATTTTTGAGGTTAGTGATTTACTATGTAACCCCCCTGCAGTTGTGTAAACCTCTTTGAGTCAGGGTAGTGTAGTCTACAGCTCCCTAACTGTAAGGAAAGCTACCTGAGCTATTTCCCTTTGGGAATGAAATGCATTGCTTTCTGCAACTGAGCAAGCCTATAGTGAGTCATAATCTTCATTTTTGGAGCTATCTGATATAATTAATATGAATTTTTAAAACTAATCATTTTCCTTTTCATTTAGTAGACATATGGGAAAGCAATCCGTGTTTTTTGCCAGCCAAATTTTGAGAAGCTTTTAATTTAGCAAGAGAATATTCATAGAAACATGAATTATCTTATGCTCCCTAGTATACTATAAACTTCCTTTGTTGTTCAAGTAAAAAAAAATTCAGTTACTCATATTGGTTTATGTAAGGTTAAATTATAAGGTGCCTTTGACTTTAGGGTATAACTCATATTAATTTACTAAATAAAGGATATTGACTCTAACATTCTTCATGCAATTCCATTTTATAGCAGTGAATACCTACAAATGAGAAAAATCCATTCATAAAATCATTTATCAACATAACACTTGCTTTCTTTTGTTCTACCTTTTAAAAATTAAAGCATGTTTTAAAAGTGAAAACTAAATCCCATTCCCACCAGAATTAGCTATAATTCCTTCTGCAGTCTTACCAGAGAGTCACAATCATTAACTTGGGAATGAATACATTACTGCACCAAACATGCCAACTAAAAATATCTAGACAATTATTTGTCAAAGGATTTTATCACTTTGATGGTCATCCATTAACATTCTTGACCTGTTCCTCAATTTCACCCACTGAATTCAACTCCCATGTTTGTGTGGTGGTAGCTGTAGAAGGGGTAGATATGGGTCAAGATAGCCAAATCAAAATGATCCGGGCATTGCATCTGAGGTAGGTCTAATACTGGGGGTATATAGAGAGAGTGACAATTGCTTGCCTTAACACATAGTGTTAAGCGTACTTAACACTCTCAAAGTGTATTGGAGTTTTATATTTATCCAGTTTTCTTAAAATAACCAATTTCGTGACAGCATCTTAAAATGAGAGCATGCCTAGCTTCATTACAGTTGCACAAATTTACATTAGTGGATATAATTGTAAACTGTTTTTCCTTCTGTTATTATCCCTTGAAAAAGATTCTATTTTGCATTTTTTTAATAATTATGAGGCATTGTGTGTTTTATTGGTTTCTATTCATAATACATCTTTACTTACACTTTTATGGTTTCTGAATTGATTGCTGTTTTGGTTTCTATGGTAACTCTGCCAGTTGCCTACCTATAAATAGATATTTTATAATAACAGGCTTATCAGAGTTCAATTTTTGAGAACCCTTCTGCAATAAGAAGGAAAATTGCTAGAAAAATAACATATGAATCAAGGTTTATGGAAACAGATCTCTTGTACCTGTCATAGTGTAAAAATAGAAGAGTCAAATTGAAAATTCATGTAGATTCATGCTGGCAAGCATATGGTGAAAAGAAAGGAATACTCAACCATTTAAAAAGAAAAATGTAAAATTGAGATACACTTTTACATTTGGCCTCCATTTAAAAATTCATGCTATCTTTTAAAATAACATTTATTAACTACACACAAACTACAGTCTGCATTTCTTTCACCACCTTCTTGTATTACTCTTCAATGTGACTTTATAGAAACTCTTATGTATGGGTATTATCCCTTGGTTATATAGAAAGTATATATCATCTTCCAATTTATTCTTTATCTTTTAACTTTCATTGTATTGTGGTTTTATTTGCTATACTGACATTTTAGTTTATGTAGTCAAATATGGCAGGTTTTCCACTGTGGCTTCTGAATCTGTGCTTCACTTAGGAAGACTTTTCTACTGCAAGATTACAAACATTCCTCTATATTTCTTTTTCGTTCTTGAATAGTCTTAAAGTATATTATGTTTTTACTCCTGCACAATTGAAAATCTGCACGTAACTTTTGACTTCCCCAAAA